TATAATCACTAGGAGCTCTGGTAGCATAGTGCCTAAGGCACTTGACTGCTAACCAGAAGGCTGGCAGTTCAAACCCACCGGCCACTCCTCGGAAGGAAGTTTGGGCAATCTACTTCCGTAGTGATACTGCCTCAGAAACCCAAGGAGGGGTCGCTATCAGTCGGGTCCGACTTGATGGCCCATAACAACAACAACAACAACAACTATAATCACTACTATTATTGCCTTCTATTCCTAACCTTATTTTTACTGTTGGGTCACTAATATGGCCCCTTATTTCCTCTCTGACCTCATTTTCTAGCACTTTCCCCTCACTCCTTTCTTTACTGTTCCACAAATATGTTATGCATGCTTCTGTCTTAAGGCCTTTATTTGTACCTGCTGTTCTCTGCCTGATTGTTCTTTCCCCAGATAGTGTTCACACTTCTGTTCAAATGTCACCTTGAAAATGAGTCCCTTGAATAAACTATCTAAAATAGAACCTCTTGCTGCTCCATCACATCATCCTGTTTTAATTTATACATAGTACTTTTTACTCTGACATTTATATTATATCATATCATTTTTGTTTAGTTATTTTTATCTACTCAATAGGAATGTAAGTTTTATAGGGCAAACTTGGTCTGTTTTGTTTACTCCTCTTTTCCACCTTCTTCCTGCCCTTGGTGACTACTAATAAGCTTTGGTCTCTATACGTTTACCTATTTCATATAAATGGGATCATACTATATTTGTCCTTTGTGACTAACTTACTTTGCTCAATATAATGTATTCAAGGTTTATCCATGTTGTAGCATGTGCCCAGACTTCATTTCTGTGTATGTCTGTGTAATACTCTTTTGCATGTATATGTTGTGTTGTTGTTATGTGTCGTCAAGTCAGACCCGACTCATAGCAACTCCTCCTTTGGTTTCCGAGGCAGTATCACTACCCAAATAGATTGCCCCATCTTCTTTCCGAGGAGTGGCTGGTGGCTTTGAGTTACCAGCCTTCTGGTTAGTAGTCAAGTGCCTTATGCACTACGCTACCACTTTTTATTTATCCATTCATCTGTTGGTGGACATTAGGTTGTTTCTACCTCTTGGCTCTTGTGAATGGTGCTGCAGTGAACCTTTGTGTACAGGTGTCTGTTTGCTGCCCACTTTCAATTTTTGGGGTATATACCTAGCTTTGGGATTCCTGGATCGTATGGTAATTATATGTTTAGCTTTTTGAGGAGCCACTGTAATCTTCTTTTTCTGGAAGAAAACATGTTTTCCTAGCTTTTCATTTGTTTCAGTATTATTAACTGTAACTACTTATTTTTGGCCCTTGGGAAAGCCTCTGTCTTATCCTAGGTATGAATAAATCACCATTCTCCTTAGTTCAACAAAAATAAGACTAGAGTTTTTTAAAAGAAAACAAGCAAGAAATCAAAGTGTGAAAGAAAAAGAAACTACAAAACACACATTACGTTTTCCTAAGCGGTAAAAGTCTGTCTACCAATTAACATAGCTGACACAGTTTTTGGTGCTGTTGTTGCAGTTTTTTACCCAGATCGATTTGGTTAACCACACCTGTCAAGTTTGGAATTTTGGCTGACCACCACCATTTAGGAATGTTGTAGAAAAATATTGAATTATGGGAGGAGAATAACTATGAATTGTTAAAATCAGATTACAGTATATATGATACGATCCTAATTTTATTTAAGGTATATTTAAGTATGTTGTTGTTGTTGTTATTGTTATGTGCCATTGAGTCAGACCTGACTCATAGCAACCCCTCCTTGGGTTTCCAAGGCAGTATCACTACGGAAAGTAGATTGCCCAATCTTCCTTCCGAGGAGTGGCTGGTGGGTTTGAACCACCAGCCTTCTGGTTAGCAGTCAAGTGCCTTAGGCACTATGCCACCAGGTATATAGTATATGATCCTAATTTTATTTAAGGTGTATAGTACAATGCACAGAAAAAAATAAAGCACCAGAGACATACTCTGCAGATGGTAACCCTGATTATCTATAAGTGGTAGAATTATAGTTCATTTTTAATTTCTTTGTGTTTTTCTAAGTTTTCTATAGAAACATGTAGGATAAATGCCATTAAGAAATATATCTTTAAACTTTTTAAGGGCTCCATATTGCTACTCTGTCACTTCCAAATCTGGTCATAAAGTCTATACAGATCACTCACAATCTCCCTTCCATATCTGCAGCAACGTAAAAGGCTATATATGAAGATGATATATATATATACACAAGAGGCCACATTGCTCTGGGTGTTTCATAAAGAGGCCCCTTTTAATCTAGTTTACTTCTACCTATCTAATCATTATTTTGCCTCCTAATAGTCACCTTGTTCTTGAGCAGAAGGCATTACTGCATGAAGTTAAGGATATGAATGATCACTTCTTGCTAGGTAATGAAGGTACCTTTTTTTGTCTTCAAGTTTGTGTAGTGCTGGATTCAGCTAGCATCAACAGGGATCCACAGATTTGTAGATTGTTACTGACTTCTTTTTTCAGATAGATCTGCCAAATGGTTAATGTTCTCAGTCTGTTAGCAAAACAAAATCATATTGTTAAACCTACTAAAGTGCTGTTCTTTTAAGACATGAACAGATTGTTGCAGTTTAGCTGTCCTCCCTATGGAAATAAATGGGTGTTGGGCATTGCAGCTGGCAATAGAAACAAGGTAATGGGGATATAGTAAGGTAGAAAAAACTTAACATTCTATAAATTTGAGTAGTGTCCTTTCTTAGAATGAATTTTAATCTTCTTGGATTCTTAATCTATGAATCAATATAATAATAAGTAAAATATAAGCATTGAAACAAACTTTGAGGATTATAAAAATGACCCAAGTATATTAGTTAGGGTTGACTAGGCTGTGATGTATTAACAAACAGCCCTAAAATTGCAGTGGTTTTATAACAATAATTGCTCATATCAGTCTGATACAGATTAGGTGGCTCTCTTGGCAGCTCTCCTCCAAGCAGTGTGACCCTTTCCATATATACCACTATCTTCATATATGGTCATCTTAGTTGCTGCAGAAAGGGAAGGGAGAATGGGAATGATTTGCCCAGATTTTATAAGACAAAGTAGAACTGCCCCATAGGATTTCCAAGGCTGTAAATCTTTGTGGAAGCAGATTGCCACATCTTTGTTCCATGGAGTGGCTGGTGGGTTCAAACTACCAATCTTTCAGTTAGCAGCTGAGTGCTTAACCACTGTGCTATCAGGGTTCTTGAAGTCAATGGTAAACCAAAACATAAAAACCAAACTCACTGCCATCTTGTTGATTCCAACTCATAGCGACCCCCATTGGGTTTCCAAGGTGATAAATCTTAATGGAAGTAGATTGTCCCATCTTCCTTCCATGAAGCGGCTTGTGGGTTTGGACTGCTAACCTTCTGATTAGCAGTCAAATGCCTTAGAACACCACCACCAGAGCTCCTTGAAGTCATTGGTAGCAAGTAAAAAATAACCTCTTTCTTAATTGCCTTCATTTCTTAGGGAGAAGAAAATCATAAGTCTAAGTCTGTGCATCCTTGCTTATAAACCTCTTTGCATAAAATTTATGTATTCTTTCTTCAAAAATAAAACCTCACTGTACTTACAAAGATTATTGAAATGACAGATGTTTTGTTACCTATATTTTTACCACATTAAAAAAAAAAAAGTGCTTAATCATTCCAATCCAAATCCCAATAACATTACTTAATGAAATGGAAAACTATAAAACCAGCTTTATATGGAAAGGAAAGAAGCCCCGAATAGCTAAAGCAGTATTAAAGAAAAAGAAGGAGCCCTCACATTCCCCATCTCACAACTTACTGTACAAAAAAAAAAAAAAAACTCACTGCTGCCCAGTCGATTCTGACTTATAGTGACCCCTCCTTGGGTTTCCAAGGCGGTATCACTACGGAAATAGATTGCCCAGTCTTCCTTCCACGGAGTGGCTGCTGAGTTGAACCTCCAGCCTTCTGGTTATCAGTCAAATACCTTAGGCACTATGCCACCAGAGCTTCTTACTGCTGTTGTTGTTGTTGTTGTTGTTGTTATGTGCCATCGAGTTGGACCCGACTCATAGCAACCCCTCCTTGGATTTCCTAGGCGGTATCACTATAGAAGTAGATGGCCCAACCTTCCTTCCGAGGAGTGGTTGTTGGATTCGAACCACCAGCCTTCTGGTTAGCAGTCAAATGCACAGCCACGGTAATCAAAACAGCCTGGTACTGATTTATGTTGTCAGAGGGAACCATGCCCTGGAGAAGGATAACATATTTGGTAAAGTGGAGGGTAAACAAAGAAGGGGAAGGCCCTCAGCGAGATGGATTGACACACTGGCTGCAATGATGGGCTCAGGTATAGCAAGGATCGTGAAGCTGGCACAGGACTGGGCAGTGTTTCATTCTGCTGTGTATAGAGTCACTGTGAGTCGGAGATGACTCGACAGCACCTAACAACAACAACTGGTTCAATGACAAGCACAGACCAGTAAAATAGAATTGAGAACCTAAAGGTAAATCCATCCATCTGCGGGCAGCTGATTTTCAACAGAGGGTCAAAGTCCATTCCATGGGGAAGAAAGAGTCTCTTGAACAAATGGGACTGGCAAAATTGGATATCCATGTGCAAAAATATGAAACAAAACATACTTCACACTATGCACAAAAACAAAGTCAAAATGAATCAAAGACCTAAATGTTAAAGCTGAAACAATAAGGTTCCTGAAAGATAACATAGGATCAAAACTACAGGACCTAATTTTTGCCGTAAATAGCCTGTCAAACAACTGAAAATGCACAAATAACAGAAGATAAATTATAAACTGGGACCTCCTAAAAGAATAAGCATTAGGATTAGTACAATGTACGTGGTAGTTGGTTTTTAAATATAATATCAATGCAAATAATACGGATTTTTTTTTTCCTTTTAGCTTTAAAAAAGCCCCCTATTTCAGTTTCTCAACATGAAAATCATCAAGCAATCTCCCACCTTCCAACTGGACAACCTCTCTCCCCAAATATGGCTCTAGGTATGAAGTCTTATCCTCAGAGTTTCTACTTGAAAACCAACTTATTAGTTATATATTGCTTTATAAGAAAACATGTCATTTAGGAGTACAGTGAAGTGGCGTTCATTCTTCTAATTAGTGTTATATATTTTTTAATCACTAGTAAAAGCTCAAGGAAAAATAATTATTTACAAATGCACTTTGTCTAATGGCTTGTTACAGTCTTTTTCTTAAGAGTAGAATTATTTGTTCTGCCACTGTGACAGCCACTTTCTCTGTATTCACATTCTTTAAATGTGTTCGATTTTATCTCACATATGCCTTCTATAGATTACTATACCCATCTATATTAAACTCACTACTTACTGAGTACCCTTACTGAATACCTATTTAATTTTATAGAAATGTTCCCCTAAAATGGAAATTGATGTGATTGAAGAGAATTGTTTAAGGGAAATGATGGAAGGGAAGATGTAGGAATCAGGGTGGCACAAGTTTCTGAATCCATAGTTGATTATTATAAATATTCTAAACAAGGCTGTCAGCCCCAGGGTTACAGGTGAGAAGAGACAACTCAGGGACACCCAAAGTATCAGGTGGGAAGAGCAGGAGAAAGGGGATTAAAAGCCAGGAAGCCAGAGAGAAGAGCAATCAGCTGAAGGGATTAGGTGAGGAGAGGCAACTCAGGCCCGCC